ACATTGGTATAACTCATTAATTTCTTCATCATTAGCTTTGGTGGTTGGTGTATCAATGTAAACAATAGCTGTATTGATTGACTTTCCTTGAAAAAGATAGATATACTATTATCACAGGCAGTATTGTACTTCAAGATAGACCTTGAAATTTCTTTTTGGATGATAAATGCAACCCTATTCCTCTTGATTGTGCCATTGCCAGCATAGTAAAACATTTGATTTTCTGATTAAGATGGTCAATACCAGTTCATTTCAGCTCTCTAAGGCATAGGATCTTAATCTGCATGTGTTCCATTTCATTTTTGACAACTTCCAATTTTCCCAGATTCATACTTTGTACATCCAAGTTCTGATTATTAATTGGTGTTTGCACCTGTTTCTTCTAAGAAGAATATGTATGCACACATGTATGTATAAGGGGATGCCCCCCCCCCACACACACAAAAAAACCAACAACACCGTAATTGCACTGGGTGGAGCAGAGCTTTGAATCAAGAAACTCACTCTGAGTTAGTGCACGCAGTGGTGTCACCTGGGAAGTTTCTCTCTGGTCACAGTTAAGTTTTTCATAAAAGTATTTTCACTTGAACCTCATTTTTTGTGATAGCCAATTTAAGAGAACAGCGAATGGCTGTGAAATTTTATTTCCTGTTTAGAAAAACTGCCACGGTAACTCTTGTGAAGTTGAACACAGCTGACAAGGAGAGCGCTGTGGGAAAAACTCAAGTGTAAAAGTGTTTTCTTATTTCAAAGAAGGTGAAATGTCAATTGATGACAAACCTCCCTCTGGATGGCCATCAACTTCTCAAACAGATGACAAGGTAGACTTGTAGTGCATTTGGAGTTGGTTCAACCGGGTCAGACTGTTAATCAAGCTTTCTATTTAGAGGTTCCGAAAAGATTGTGTAACTGCACGCAACAAAAGAAGTCTGATTTGTGGAAAACAGGGGATTAGTTTTACCACCACAACAAGTACCTGTTCACGCAGCCATCTCGGTGCACAAGTTTTTGGCAAAAAACAACATGCCTCTCTTGCCCCACACACCAGACTCACCTGGCCTCTCTCTGTTTGACTTCTTTTTGTTTCTGTGAAAGAGGGCCATGAAAGGACAGAGATTTCAAGGGATAAAAGAGGTGAAGAAAAAAACGAAGGAGGTGCTGTCAGCCATCCAAAGACATGAGTTTGAAAAATGTTTCCAAGAATGGAATTGCAGATTTGACAAATGTATTAAGTGTAATAGAGAGTACTTTGAAGATGATAAGGTGGTTTTGTAAAAAAAAAAAAAACAACGAAGAAAGCTGATTGGTGCCCAGCTATCAAAAAGTATAGCATCTGGGGTCTCAAAGGCTTGAAGGTAATCAAGCGGCCATCAAGTTCAGAAACAACAAAGCCCACATGGAGGAAGCACGCTAGCCTATGCGATCACGAGGTGTTGAAGGGATCAGGTATCAGGCATCATCAGAACAAAAAATCTTACCATAGTCAATGATGGGGGGAGTGCGGAGTGGAGACCCAAAGCCCATTAACAGGCTACTGGAGATCCCCTTGCAGAGGGGTCTCGGGGAGGAGACGAGCCAGTCAGGGTGCGATGTAGCAATGATGAAAAATACAACTTTCCTCTAGTTCCTAAATGCTTCCTCCCTGCCCCCACTATCATGATCCAAATTCAACCTTGCAAGTCTGGCTGGACCAGAGGATATACACTGGTACATATAGGAACTGGAAACACAGGGAATCCAGGGCGGATGATCCCTTCAGGACCAGTGATGTGAGTGGCGATACAGGGAGGGTAGACAGAGAGTGGGTTGGAAAGAGGCAACCGATTACAAGGATCTACATGTGACCTCCTCCCTGGGGGACAGACAACAGAAAAGTGGGTGAAGGGAGACGTCGGACAGGGAAAGATATGACAAAATAATAATTTATAAATTATCAAAGGCTCATAAGGGAGGTGGGAGCGGAGAGGGAGGGGACAAATGAGGAGCTGATGCCAGGGGCTTAAGTGGAGAGGAAATGTTTTGAGAATGATGAGGGCAATGAATGTACACATGTGCTTTACACAACTGATGTATGTATGGATTGTGGTAAGAGTTGTATGAGCCACAAATAAAATGATTTAAAAAAATTTTTTTTAAACAAATTATACAGCTTTGAAAAAAAATCCGTTTTGGGGGGTACCCTCGTGTGTCTATGCACGTACACACAAATGTGAACACATACTATTTCCTTTTTTAGTTTAACAGAAATGGTTGCCTACCACAGCGTTACTCTGTAGCTTGCTTTATTTTTACCTATGCCACAGATTTCAGTTAGCTCATTAATGAAGAAATCAGGCAAATGTTACAATTGGTTCAAAGAATTCAAAGTATCACACATATTGGGTCTATAGACTGAGGAACAAAGAAATGAATTTACAAAGAGATGGTCACATTAATCAATATTCCACTGCATCGCACTGGAGGCAACTAATTTGCATTGATATGGACACATATAGTGTGCACCACTCTCAGTATTCTATAACCTGCAGAGTTGTAAAATAGCTCAAAGATGAGGAAGGGGTGGGGGGAGCCCCCAGGAGTGCATCAGACAAGATCCTGCATCGTTCACACTTTCCCCTCAGTCTCTGTACCTCGCATCTGCTGTGATTCTAAGAGCCCCAAGGCAAGAAGAGTTTTCTAACAGGCCTGGTGATTGACGGAGGTGTGGTGACGGTCTTACAGGCACCGAGGAGTTTGCTTTGCAAGTTTTCAACGCATGCAGTGTTGAGCAGCTGCTAAAGTCACAAGCTCAACTTCTGTCTGCAGGTCTTCGTAAGGAATCTCTCAGGTAGGACTTTTTAAAGCCTTTGTTTTTAAATCAGGCAGCACTGCTCTATCACAGAGAGCAGGGCTCCTCGCTCCTCACAATAGTTGGCGCTGGTCTGCGGTGTCAGAAACCAGGCCTAGGAAGCTCTCCACCAGATGGCACTTGCTAGCAGCCAACAACTCACTGCCATCAAGTGGATCCCGGTCCATTATGACCCGAGAGGTCAGAGTCGAACTGCCCACTTGGGTTTCCAAGGTTGTCGATCTTGACGGATCCAGGTGACTTCCTCTTCCTTCCTCCCGTAAAGGTGCTGGTGCTTTCCCTCTGCTGACTGTGCAGTGAGCCGCCCAGTGGGTGAGAAACTACATCACCAGGGCTTCTCCTGCAGCACGGATAGATGTGGGTGAGAGCCTCGCTCCTCTAGACCTGCCCCTGAAAGACTTAGCTCCACAGTGTCTTCACGGGGCTCAAGCAAAGTCCAAGAGAGTCTTCACAGAGAAATCACTATCTTAAGATATGCTATCAGATGGAGACAACATAATTCTAGAACTTGCTAAAAACATTTTTTTAAAGAAAGAAATCGTTTTATTGGGGGCTTTCATAGCTCTTATAACAATCAATTGTATCAAGCACAGTTGCACCTATCTTGCCTTCATCATTAAAAAAAATCATTTTATGGAGAGCTCTTACAATGCTTATTACAATCCATACATCAAATGTTCAGGCATACCTGTACATAGGTTGCCATCATTCTTTTCTAGACAGTTACTTTCTACTGAGCCCTTGGTATCAGTTCCTCTTTTTTCCTCCCTCCTCCACCATCACCCTGGTGACCCCTTGATAGATTATTAAATTATTATTTCCATGTCTCACACCGACCACTGTCTCCCTTCAGCCATGGTTCAAATTATTTTCTTTCTGCTTGAGCCCTTGGTATCAGTTCCTTTTCCCCCACCTTCCCACACTTGTAGGCCCACGTTAAATTATAAATTATTATTATTTTCATATCTTACACCGCCCACTGTCTCCCTTTGTCCACGTTATTTTTGTTTGTCCCCCTGAGGAGGGAGGATTGTGTATCATTGTCAATGATTCCTTGTTGCTCTCCTTCCCTCCCCCTTCTCCCCGCCCCAGCTTCCCCTACCCTCATGGTATCACTACTCCCATTGCTGTTCCTGAGGGGTTTATCTGTCCTGGACTCTGAATGTCAAGAGCTCTTATTTGTACCAGTGTACATGCTCCCGTCTAGCTAGATTTGTAGGTAGAACTGAGGTCATGATAGTGGGGAAAGGGCGTGGGGAGGAAGCATTAAAGAACTAGAGGAATGTTGTGTGTTCCATTGGTGCTGTGACCTTCTGTGAGGGGATGTCCAATTGTTTACAGATGGGTTTTGGGTCTCCACTCTGACCCCATTATTTGCACCAGTATATTTGTTTGTTTGGGGTCTTCTGATGCCTAATACCTTATCCTGTCAACACCTCATGATCACACAGGCTGGTGTGCTTCTTCCACGTGGGTTTTGTTGCTTTCCTGCTAGGTGGCCACTTGTTTAGCTTCAAACCTTTAAGACTCCAGACGCTATAGCTTTTCATTGCCGGGCACCATCAGCTTACATCACCACATTTGCTTATGCACCCATTTTGACTTCAGGGATTGATCATGCAGGGAAGGTGAGCCTCACAGGATGCCAGGTTGTTAGAACAAAGAGTTCTTGCACTGAGGGAGTACTAGAGTAGAAACTCAATGCTGGTCTACTACCTTAATGCTTAACCTTTAAATATATGTACATGGACCTATCTCCCTATTCTTATATATTAATATATTTACATATGCGCATGCCTAAATTTGTCTCTATAAATGTCTTTTGCCTCCTAGTTCTCTCTATTTCTTTTTACTTTCTTCCTGTCCTACTATCATGTTCTGAAAACATTTTTAAGCGTAGAGTTTTGAGAAATGATCTCCACTGGCATTGTTCATGGCATGAAAACTCCAGGAAACGAAGAGGCCTGGCATGAATGCCTGTCTGTGTGGAAGAGCAAATACAAAGGTTTGTGTAGATGCTGTCATTCCCACTGGTGACAAAGAGGAAACTGAGGCAGTACACGGAGGGCCGGCACACCACCCTGCTGGTGCCTCATGCAGCCTGTTTAAGTATCTTTGTGGTTGAGATTGCCCCAACATCAGGCTGTGTTACCTCTCCCCCGGCGGCATAAAGGCCCTTTTGCTGGGGCTTGCCAACTGTGGACAGGAACGGGGTCAGGGACAGGGGCAGGGCCCCGCCCCCACATATCCCACTGCCATCCGAGCCTGGCGGGGATCTGACACATGGGGGTACTGAATGAGATCAGCCATTAGCCACTACAGCCCTGTCCCTCTTGGCTCGCTCGTGTCCCGGGAAGAGCCACTCGGGGTGCTGCCATCTCCAGTCTTTTCATAAGCAGTTGCTCCCTACTATGCGCAGGCGCTGTTTCAGGGGTGGCCCGCACAATATCTGGCTGAAAATCTGGGCCACAGGTTCCCCCATGAATTTGGCCTATGGAGACCTTTATCAAAACGCACAGTATCCGGCGCCCACCCCGGCAGTTGAAACCTTCCGTACTCGAGCGCATGACACAGGATAAAGCGCAGGCATCTGCTTTCGTAGTCGTCCCTCCCCCAGCCCCACCCCGGAATGCGCCAGTACTGCTCCCCACCAGGGGTGGCATTGCCCACTTTGGGAAACACCGGACTTGACCAATGTTTCCTACAGAACCAGTGCCAGGGCGTTCCAGGTTGCTTGGGGAAGCCAGACATGTAGTCACCCATCCCAATATCTCACCACCGCCAAGAGGCATTTGTAAAAAGAACATCTGGGTGACAAATAACACTTCATGCATGTGCAGCTCGGATGTTTAAGACCTCTGGAGGAGACACTTAGGGAGAAAGGCTTGCGGGTGGGGGCAGGAGGGGAAAGAGAGGAGCAGAGAGGTGTCACTGGAAATGGCCTGGGGCCTGAGGAGCCGGCCTCCCCCTTCCCCCCACCTCCGGGAGCCATACCGTTCAGGTAAGTGTGAGAAAGCAGTAGCCTTGAAGGGGCACAGGCCCTGCCTGTGTCCTCTGTCCGAGGCTCCGCCTGGGAAGTCCAGTCTCAGTGAGGCCAGAAGGGCCGTGAGATGAGGAAAGGGAGGAAGGAGGGAGTGGAGCCACCAGAAGATGGCCACTGAGGCCACTGAGGCGGGGGGCAGTGGGGGTGGGTGGGGGAGGGGTTGGAAAGGTAGCAGGTGAGGGGGCATGCGCAGACAGACCTGAGCTGGCACCGTCTGTGCAGACAGCTATGAACAAAGCCCCCCACACACCCCCACTGCCCAATTCTTCCAAGCACTCACTCACCATGAATGGCATGAATCACAATGCTTTTTATGAAGAGGCTGTTTTCCGGAGGAAGAGCCCCATGGTAGTCATGTTTCACTTTGGCAAAATAGCCCACATATCGACTCTGAAAAACAAAAGAAGCCACAAGCGACAGGGAGATGAAGTGGCAGAAGTCTGCGGTCCTAAGAACAGACCACGAACAAAACCACGTTTTTAACATAGAGCTGGTTCCAGATAGTAATTCAGGAAGGAAAGGTTTACCAGGTTCCCATTTGGATGCATGCTGTCTCACAGCTACTGG